AAGAAAATGGATGGATGGATGGATGGATGGATATTAAAATAATTGGTAACATTTTATTTTTCTTAATATTCACATGCAGACATTCCCTTTTGACATCACTTCCTGTTATTTCACATGGAAATATGTCAACAAATGTCTATCTGAACAATGTGAAATTTGTTTTGTGATATGTTAATAATGTTTTTCTAAAAATGCCTTCATATTTCTTTAAAAAAAATTGATGTCATTTACACTTTAAGGTTTCATCTACAGCAAATTGGGGTTAAGAACCCACTGTGAGTCCTAAAACTCCAAATTTTKGGTTTTTAGAGGATTTCCAGAAATTAAATTAAGTATAAAACTGACTAAGGATGTTTCTGCTATAGGTAGACATGGATAAAAACAGTTGTTCTATTAGCAATATTTGAATACTTCAACCAAAAATACTTTGGGGGTGGGAGCTCTGCTCTTCTTCTGAATAAATGAAACTTATGGAACACAGTTGTTTAGTCTTAAATTAAAATATTTGACCAAAGTAAAACTAGAGCAGGACTACAGAGTGAGATGAATATGATTTAGAAAGTTATTTGTGTGTCTGTGTCTGACCCACAGGAGACACAACATTAACAGAACATTTCATTCCTCGGGTTCAGCAGCTCCTTTAATTCCACAGCTGACCTGCTAAAAATGACAGATTTTCTTTGGTTCTCTGAGAGCAGAACTTCAATCTCTGAACTCGTAAAGTTCTTCTTTATTACTTTGTGATGTCATTCGTGAATGGACACTTCCTGATATCTGAGGCAGGAAACACAGCCTTATATGGTGTTTTTAGGGTGGTAATTATGCTAATCTCCTCTCCTCGTACACGAGCAGCTGGATAGAACAGGTGAATTTACGCAGCTCATTTACACACTTTTCTTGAAGATAGAAGWGTTTGTTGAATCTGACGTGACATGTTCGTACGAACCCTTCATACAAACAAAGGTTAGAGACATTTAGGAGAAGAATACGAACATGTTCTTGCATGAGGCCCAWTGTGTCAACAGTTTCATTGAGTAAAAGTTTTAAATATAGAGTGTGACTTGGTTTCAGGATTATTAATAATGTTGAAATGATTTGTTTTACAGCTCTACTGTCCTTCACTTTCATCCACTATGCCTTGGCTTTCACTGCTGTTGTGCTCTTCTACGTGTTTTACACCACACCGGATAACTGCACAGAGCACAAGGTCTTCATCAGCCTCAACTTCATCTTCTGCATTGCTGTTTCCATCGTGTCTATCCTGCCTAAAGTTCAGGTAATGCACCCTCACACCAATGATAGACGAGTTAAAGAGGGGAAAAGCTCTGCTCTGATGTGGACGATGTTCTTCATGAAATGACATGAACTATTTTTTTCCCATCGCTGAGGGAAAAGGGGAACTGGAAATACCACCAGTCCATCTGTTTATCTTGCAACTTGAACAATAAGTGAGGTACTGACTTGCATTTTGGTGTGTGGCTCCATCTATGTGTAAGAAAAGTTTTGAACATTACAAAGCTCGCATGAAACGTATGTTTTGATTGGATGGCGAAATGCCACGTGCCTGCAGAAATGGAATGTAGTGGGGAATGTACCGTATTTTTCGGACTATAAGCCACACCCCCAACATAAAAAAAACAGTACACCCAAAATTGTCATCAGAAAAGTGAATTGAACATCAAAACATAAAAATCAAACCTTTAGGAATTAAAGTTCAGAGGAATAC